ATTCTCGATGAAACATTTTCCTTTATTAATGTAACTAATTATTATTTAATACTTCAGTTATACAAAATTTCTAAAATCAAAATCGATTCTTATTCAAAAATGTGAGAATTATCAAATTCATTCAAATGTCGTCAATGTCGCCTATGAAAAAAATAATTGTTCAAATGTAATCGTTTTTGTTAGTACCTAAATAATTACAAGTAAGCATTAATTCGTGTTTCGTTATGTTTCGTGTACAAATAATCCGTGTTTGCTAATTTCACGTTAGATGGAGGTGAATGTTTAATAAATTGTTTACGTCTGAATGTCCATAAGGATCAAAGTTGCTTGTCTCGCATTCGGATTATTCTGGTACCGTCAGCAAAAGTGAAAGGCAGTTGCCGGTTGTTGTTTGCTAGGACAATGGTATCCAGTGTTCGTGAGTGATCTATTTCGTGAGGAAAATGTACTTTAAACAACTACTTCAGGTAATTGTCATGTCATCAAATGCACCATTTAGAAAAGTTATTCAAGGTTTTCCATATGTATGTATATTAATATGTATTTGAAGAGATATCGCGATAAAAACGTGTGCATCAAGCTTCGCGTAGGTACGCTATCGAAACGGATCAAAGCAGCATGCTTTGAAACGTATTAGTTGGTTAGAGGTTATGTTACATATAATGTCATATTACGATTAATTTGGTAACTATGAAAACAGTAATTTGAAGTGTACATAAAGGAATTACTTGTACTGTTGTAAAGGTATATAATTTTTAATGATTAATTACAAGAGCGCATTTATTAGCATTTATATTTTGATAGAGAGAGATATTTATGTCAACTCCTTACCCAAACATTTTCTACATTCATAAAACATTATTAATTAAATGATTGAATTATATAAATATTATAATCCTAGATCTCCTACGTTTTTCTACGTATTTACGGCTGATGGTGATATTTTGAAAAATCATCTTAAATAATGCACTGGATTAGAGAAACTATATATTTTTCGTAACTTTTGTAGTAGAACTTGCCCCTGATTCCGTACCTCAAAATTTTACTACGACTACTTTTTTGTAGTCTGTCTGTCTGTCCCTACATAGTATAATTGATCATCAACACTAAGTAAGGCATTAAGGTACGAATTCAGGTGAAAATGTGAAAAACACGAATTTCAAGTGAATCTGTCTATCTGTCTGTGTCAAAGACGTTACTGATTATTAAAGCCTGTGGTACACTTGTAGCTGATCCAGAATTTTCAAATTTGGATTGAAGGAGGACATTATGGTACGAGTTTAGGCAAAAATATGAAAATCATGAATTTCTAATAGGAAAAAAAAAAAAACTTGGGTGTTTCATTCCCACTAGCCAGCAATGCTGGTGGGCGGGCAGTCCCTCCGGACTACGCCGGAAGGTAGGGCGGAAGGCCCTCTTCAGCCTGCTTTCAGGAATCGTGGGAATGGGTGGGTGGTAGTTCGGGTGAGAAAGTTGAGACGGACGAAATGAAGACAGAAGAGAATGAAAGATTATCTGTGGAATATTACTGCTCAGCATTTGCCTAGGTGATCCAAGGAAACCACAGAAAAACTTGGACCAAGGCAGACGGACCCGGAATCGAACCGGCGTCCTCCCGACTGCTAAGCAATGGTCTAGACCTCTAGGCCATGCCGCTCGGTTTCTAATAGGCCTGTCTGTCTGTCATTATCAGTAAAAAATTTTACTAATAATAAAAGAGTTTTAGCTGAGATAGGACATTCAAAATTGGATTGAATTGAATTTAAGTAAAAATATAAAAATTCAAATTAGTCGGGCTGTTAAAAGTATCACTGTTCATCAGTGTTTATAGAGTACTTCTACTTGAGTTAGGACCTCAAGGACTGTAGGAACTTCTGGTTAAGATAGTACTGTAAAATTTGTATTTCAACAAGATTTCATATTATTAGTTCAAAAAAAAAATTCGATCAACCACGAATTTCAAATTAGTTTCTGTCTGGTGAAAGAAGTATTAATGATCATCGAAACATATAGGGCACTAATGTAAAATATGATTAAATGAATATTTTAAGACATGAAAAAGGAAAATCTTTGCTAATTTTAAAAAAAAAAGTTTGCTAGGCAATTACTTACTTGTTTTAAATAATATTGTAATTTGGAATTATAAAAGATCGTATCCTCGAAGTCCATTATTCAATAGAATATTGACGGGATGACGCAAAATTCCGATTCCCAGCAAGAACTTGGGTCGCTAGTGAAGTGTATAATTAATCCGAAAATGCAGGTAATTTATGTCTGGAATGTTTATTGCAGCTGAGCTGGGAAGCTAATTTACAGTATGTCAACTTACGACGGACCCGCTACTACCACGACCACCGTCTTTCCACCTCCCTCCCCTCTCGCCTTCCCTATTCCATCGACGATCCTTTCACCCCCCAGACGTCCTCTCACTCTCTTCCGTAAGAGCAACCCCCGCCTGCTACAGTAATGGTAGCAGCTTATATTGAAAACATAAGCACAACCACGGCAATCAGGATACGAAAACGGAAATTTCACTAAATATCCTAATAATTAAATAGCAATCACATTCGAATCCTGTTATCCTGCAGGATCTGCATGCTACGTGATACTGGCTCGTTTTCCGGCTTCTCTAAACAGCCATTTAATTTAACTCTGTTGAAGGATTAATTCGAAATCTTCTTGAGAATAACGATTAAAATATGTCAATTTTATTTATCTAAAAGGACATCATCCTGGACATTCATATCGTCCAACGTATTTATAAAATGCAATTTGTTTAACACTGGTTTTAAAGATTTTTGGCGAAATAATCAGTGAAACAGATGGAGTAGGATTGATCAATACCCTATACATATTAGGTATTGGAGTTTGACCATTTAGGAATATCCTTTTTTACATGAAATTTGAATTTATGCAATAAAAAATTTGAATTGAAAGACGGTCTTATGATACGAACTCCGGTAAAAATTTGAAAAACACAACTTTTAAATTAGCTTGTCCGCCTGTCTCTATCAAAAATGTTGCTGATTATTTATCAGTGCCTGTAGGGCACTTATGGTTAAACTAGGACTTTAACATTTGAACTGAAGGAAGGCCTATCACGCATTGTAAATTAGTCCGTCTGGCTGTTTGTCAAAAGTATCACTGAACTTGAAAATGTATTACAGTGTGACTACCTAAGTAGACAGCATATAGGAAACTTTTTTATTTTTAATTATACCAAAAAAATTACTTTTCATAAAAAGTCCTGCATAGTCTAAAACACAATGACATCATCAAACTTAATAATTTATTAGTGGTACACAAGTTTTGGCATAAAAAAAATGAAATTTATGTAAGAATTACATTCTGAATTCTGATCGAAGTTGCTGTGTAAATGACATGTTTGTCACTTTTTCACTGAATGTCAAATATTAGTTTTAAAAGCGATAATGTCGGCGACTTTGGTTTGGAAGAAAAAATTGAAATAATTTAAAATGTTGGAAATATGCACATTATTGTTTTTTTTTTTTAAAGTAATTTTTGACATTTAGTGAGACATGCCATTTACACGACAACTTTGATCAGAATTGTATTATTGTTAATGTACATGCATAAATATTCACTCATGTGGGGCAAACGTATGAAGAAATATATAAAGTCGTAATTCTAGCAATCGATAGATACGGTTGAGTATTTGTTTTTTTCTCAACAACTTTACAAAGATTTCTATTATTTTCAAAAATTAAGGTACTTTACTGTTACACAAATTTCATATTTTCTTCCAAAACATGTGCGACTTGACTGATAAATTATTAAGTTTGATGATGTCATTATGTGTTTCAGACCATGCAGGACTTTTTATGAGCAGTGACTTTTTTCGTTTTATTAATAATAAAAAAGTTTCCCATAAATTACCAACTTAAGGAAACACACTGTATAACACTTCTAGTTGAGATACACAATTTTACGATTTCACCACACATGATTTATTGATGATTCTTATGACGTTTTTAGGAAACGGTACGAAATAATTTTCAGTTTTGTTTTTAAAACACGAAACCGTCGTCACCCCACGTGAAGTCAGACGTTTTAGTATCAAGCATGAGCCTGATGCGACTTATTATTCGCATTTGTTAAGTGAGTTTTCACGTGAATTCAGTCAATTAGAGCGTATCGTTCGTTAAATATCCCCGAAAACCATTAGCCACTAGCTGTCGCACTAAATCAAAACTGTAAGTTCCGCTCGCGACGCCATCACCGACGCCGACACCGGCGACGCCGCTGCTGCACTCACTAGCAAAGTTTAAAATGAAAATTAAGCTTTTAATTATTGAGTAACATCATAAGCCGTTACTGCTGCAGTTAATTGCTGGACTGATGGTAGTACTTTCGTTGTTACGAGAGGTACCTAACCGTTTTCGAACTTTTTCTATTTTCTATTTGTTTTTCTTCGGACATGGTTTGAAATAATAAAATTATTATTATTAGGTACTAACTCAGATTTTATTTTTGGTTAAATCTTTCAATGTCAAGGTAGAAATCCTAGGTGAATTGATCAACAGACGAAAAATAAAGCAACTCAAAAATAACATCGGTTATAACATCAATAATACACTGAAGAAGAAGTCAAAAGTCCATTTATTGAGTCAAAGAGTATTGAAGATCGCTGCTAAAAACCTTTAGGATTTCGTAGTCTCCAGAAAAGTTGAATGTATGATCTGGGGTATCAGGCGTTTTGATCCCCCGACAAAATGTCCCCGGACAAAATATCCCTGACAAAATATCCCTGGAAAAAATATCCCCGTGACAAAATATCCCTAGACAAAATATCCCCGTGACAAAATATCTCCAGACTAAATATCACCGAACAAAAGCCCCGATAATAAATTATCGAACCGATACTCCAATAAATAATATAAAATTCATATACTTCATTTCATATATTTATTTGTATTTATTTAATAATAATAACGTTTGATTGTCAGTAATATATAAGTCATTAAATCGATAATCAAATAAATATAATAGCATATATATTGGTTCCATGATTTTTCCATGGTTCCAATAGTTATTATAAACTAGTTAAATTTACTTTATATTCTTTGATACAATAACAATTATTT